CCAGCCTTGAGTTATGATTATTCTAACTGTTGACCCTTTATGGGGGAGGTTCCGAAGCAGTTGGCCAATATTGTCCAACTCATATCTAACCTAAGTCTGATATAAAGATTACCACGTACCATATTTGGACTATATAGTATACTTAATATACTTTATATGAGATATGGAAATTTTTGAAAAAATTGGAAATACGCCAGATACCAGATATAGTGGACCGAAATATTCCCCTTCATCTAATACAGATAAAAATATTGGTATGTGCAAAATTTAAAGGAAATCGAACATTCGTATCCAATTTTATAAGAAATTATAAATTCCGATAAATTTCATATTCATATCAGATTTTTGGTTAAGAGAAATATTTAGATATACCTAATTCTATAGTAACACCGACTTGATTCGCAAGTTATGACAGATATAAGTATTGGAAATTGTGACACTTTTTTGATGAGGTACCAGAAGGGGTTCGCATTAACAAAAATGTTTGGATGTGCGACGTTTGAAGAGAGTTGAATGCTTATTTTGCGATTTAAGAGCGTTTTGTTTTTCAAAATTGTGAACCCTTTGTCGGGGAGGTACCAGAAGGAATACGCAGATATATCCCATTTTCACAGCAAATCTTGTTTTAGTAAACATAATGGCATGTGCGAAATTTAAAGAGAACAAGATGATTATTTCGGATTTTATAATCGTTTCTGTTATTCACAACTTTGACCGTTTGTGGGGGAGGTACCACAAGGAATGGCTCGATCTCTACCACCTTTATAACAGATCTTATGCTGATGGAAATATTGAAATTTGCCAAGTTTGAATGGAATCGGATGTTAATTTTAATTTAATTTTATTTCGCATTTTATAAGTGTTATGATTATTCAAAAATTTGACCCGTTGTGTGGGAGGTACTTGATGGAGTTGACCGATATTGTCCATTTTCGCATCTGACCTAGCACTGATGCAAATATTAGAATTTGCAAAGTTGAAGCAAAATCCGATTATTCTTTCTCTTTAGGTGCAATAAAATGTTTTTTTTTTTAAATTTCGACTTTTTGTGCGGGAGGTACCAGAAGGAGTAAACCGATATTGCCTATCTCCGAACTCGATCTAATTTTGATAATAATATTACGATGTACCAAGTTTGGACCAAATCGGATACTCCCTTCCAGGGTAATCGTTCGTACTAGTCAGTAAGGCCGGACATCGCTAGGTCGACTTCAAATGTCCTGAAACGGATTTTGTCCCTTATTTCGAGTAGACTCATCTTAACCGCATCAAATGATATATACACTCTCTAGCTATATGGCTGAGATTATAAAAAAAGAATAGTGAGATAACTAACTGACGGATCGAGGGACGTTGATCCCAGACGAAACAGCTCTTGAAATTTTGCACGAGGGTAAGCCTAGGCGCGTGATAAGACTGTTTTTTTTTTTAATACGTACTCAAAGAAGTACTAAAACGTTCCAAAAATTGAATACTTTATATTAGACAAACGAAATGAGCTGGAATACTGAAATTTGGAATGAGAGTCACTGGTGGAGTGCAGGATAGGCCTTTTGGAAATTCGAACTTTAAGATTACGAAAAGTTCTAAAATGGTACCATTAGCTATCATGTGAACGGACAGAGCTTAAAACTGGAAATTTGGTACGGAAATCAAAATTGGAAAGTAAGTTTGATATATGAAGATAGTTATACAAATGTGTGCTAAATGTGCGAACTGTACTAAATGATGATATTTGGCGATGATTTTGAAATGTGTCCTATATTTGTTCGAAAAGTACCTAATGGTACTAATGTGTACTAGAAGTGCACGAAAAGTACTAAATAGAACTATATTGCTGGTACAATTTGGTATTGGGTGAATGATACTGCTTGAAATCTGTCATTTGGTATTAGGATCGCTGTTCACGTGTAGCCTGGACATATGGAGGTGGTTTCGGAAATGTGTACCATAATTGTACGAAAAGTACTAAATGGTACTAAATTTTGCATTGCTTGCAGGGATAGAGATACAATTCTGGAATTTGATATTTAGATTAGTTATGGAATGAGTTTGGCGGAGGTTTAGAAATGCGTCCTATACTTGCACGGAAATTACAAAATGGTACTAAATTTGGTATTCGGTGGAGGAATACAGCTGAAATCCTGAAATTTGTGGTGTCTGTGGTTATGATATTGAGGTGGATTTGAAAAAGTGTACCATAATTATTCGAAAAGTACTAAATGTTACTAAATTGTTTTTTTCTTTTTGGTGAAGGGATAAAACTGGAATTCTGAAATTTGATACTAAATTTGGTATTCGGTGAAGGAATACAGCTGAAATCCTAAAATCTGATATAGATATCACCGTTGGTGTCTGTGGTTAAGTTGTGGAGGTGATTTTGGATATGCCTACTAAAATTGTTCGAAAAGTACTAAGTGTTACTAAATTGGGTATTGAGTGAAGGGAAAGGAGCTTGAATCCTGAAATTTGACATTGAGATCTCATGTGGTATGTGGGATAGAGATATGGAGATGGTTTTTGAAATGTGTACTAAAAAGTACGAGAAGTACTACATGGTACTACATTTGGCATTGGGTGAAGGAGTAGAGCTGAAGTCCTGAAATTTGATATGGATGTCACTGTTGGTGTCTGTGTTTGAGAGAAAGGGCTGGTTTTGGATATGCGTACTGTAATTGTACTAATTGGTGCTAAATTTGGTAATGGGGGAGAGTAAAGAGCCGAAATCCTGAATTTTGATATTGAGGTCACTGTTGGTATCTGGGATTGAGATAGGGAGATTGTTTTAAAAATGTGTAGTAAATGGTATTAAATTTGGTAATGGGGGAGATTAAAGAGCCGAAATCCTGAATTTTGATATTGACATCTGGTGATCGTTTTGCAAATGCGTACTATAAATGGTACTTATTTGGGAACACTGTTGAGGTCGAGGACGGAGAAATATTGGAACAAATATAAAATTTTAAGGTGGACTGGTACTTCGAGCCAAATACTAAGAATTGAAATAACACCCAAACCATTTGGTCGTGTTTCTTTTCTCACTAAATATTGCTCCAGTCGAGCCGATAACGGAATAGAGTTGACAATCGAAGAGGGAAATTGGACTCTATTCTTATCATTAAAAACATTGATCCCCCGAGCAGGATCCAAAATAGAATTGAATCTACACCCAAGCAAAGCGGTTGTATTCTTTTCTCACTGAAAACTGAATAGAGTTGACAATCGAAGAGGGAGATTGGTCTCTATTCTAATTTACAGGACTATTCGCCGACGAAGTAGCGTGTACTTGCTTGTAATAATGTAAGACTTTTCCACAAAGGCTCTAATAGTTAAAAACAAGTAAAAAAGTATCGGTCGGTTTTGCCGACAGATGTATACCCTCAGCCCTATTCACCCTCTATGGAGTGGGTTTTGAAAGAATCGTTCAATATTGTCTATTTCGTATCCCACCTAAATAAATATGATATAAATATTATTATATATAAAACTAATTACATATAAAAAAATAAATTATAGTAGATGGATATAACAATTGTAAAGAATCGCTGAGTTGCTTTGCAATTTATGATAGATGAAAATATTGAAAATTGTGTCCCTTTTGTGGGTGAGGTGCCAGAAGAAGTGGACCGATCTACTCCATCTTAACACCAGACCTTGACTAATAAAATGATTGGGATGGGTGAAATTTGAAGACAATCGAACTCTTAAATCACATTTTATGAGAGTTGTAATTATACAAAATTTTGACCATTTGTGGGTAAGGTACTTGAAGGAGTGATATTGTCCATTTTCGGACCAGACCTAGCACTGATGCAAATATTAGGATTTGCAAAGTTGGACCAAAATCGGGTCATCGTTTCTCTCTTGTGCAAAAAATATATGATTTGTAAATTTCGACCTTTTGTGGGGATGAACCAGAAGGAGTGGACCGATATTGTCCATTTTTACACCTAACGTAAAACTGATGCAAATATTAGGATTTGCAAAATTTGGAGCAACATCAGATTTTCCCTTCTCTTTCTGTGCAAAGAATAAATTTTTTGCAAATTTCGACCTTTTGTGGGGAAGGTACCAGAAGGAGTGGACCTATATTGCCCATCTTCGAACTCGATCTAAGTTTGACAAAAATATTACGATGTACCAAGTTTGGACCAAATCGGATACTCCCTTCGAGAGTTATCGTGCGCACCAGCCAGCCAGACAGACAGACAGACGGACGGACGGACATCGCTAGATCGACTCCAAATGTTCTGAAACGGATTTGGTCCAAAGAGACCTAGGGTCTAAAACCGTTATTTCGACTAGGCACGTTTTGGCCGTATCAAATGATATATACCCTCTGTAGCCATATGGCTGAGGGTATAAAAACATCCAAGTTCGACCGGGCTGAATTTTTAGTACCCTCCACTATTGGAAGGAACTTGAAAATTAAAAAAAAAATCCGAAAACTATCACTTAAATGAAACCCGTTATATGAAATGTCGCAAACATCATCAAAATACCGAATATCGGGAGGTACCTTCATATGGATACTACACGAAGACGTAGACCTGTATACGAATTTTTTTCCATAGGTTGTAGTACCCATTAAGATCTTCCAATACGAAATTTGAAACGATTCCGGCGAATAATGTTGCCGAAATCATCAAAATACCGAATATAGAGAGGTACCGTTATATGGGAACTTTACGAAGACGTGGACTGCATTCAAACATTGTTGTCATAAACTGCAGTACCTATTACGAACGTTTAATATGAAATTAGAAATAATTCCGGTAAATAATGTCACTAAAATCATGAAAATACTAAATATCGGGAGGTCGGGCCATCCGAAAACATGGACCAACATGGCCCATTTAAACCATGCATGTATGCAGAATTTTAGCCTTATATCTCAATTCGTTCTAAAGATAGCGTGAATACACATAAATCACATAAATAGCTCATCGACAATTATTAAAATTATATTTAAAAAAATTTAATTTAATCATACATTGCAGGTGCCCTGCGGTATTTACATGTGAATCACAATTCTTCGTGCTGACCGGCGACAACATGTGTCAAAATATTCCCCCCAAATGCTCGAAATGACGAAACAACGACGATAACGTCACTTTTTCAGCAGCCGAATGAATGAATGATGACGAGTTCTTTTCAATGATTTCATGGGTGTTCGGATTCAATGAATTTATCACGTTTCAATTGTGAGTGTATGTATGTATGTATGTCGTTCGATGCACTAATCTTCAGACATTTGTACATACTGTCGTATGTATGTATGTTAATGGGAAGACTTCCCCCATTTGTTTGATTAGTAATAGACAGAGGGCATGGCCAAATAGACAAAGAATAGAAGTTCTGCAAAGAAATGCGATAAGGAATGTTTATGAGGAAGCTAATTTGATTAATTGTCAAAAAGAGAGCAATGACTGGGGATATTGAAGTAATATTGAAATTAAAATTAGGCAAAAGCAAAAGGGAAATTAGGCTAAAAATAGAAAATCTTATAAAAGCTGAAGATTATTTAATTTTACAATTTTAAAATAACAAAAAATAAAAAAGACAAGTAAAATAGTATCAGTCGGTTTTGCCGACAGATGTATGTATACCCTCAGCCTATATTCGATTATTTAAATATATTTTGATTTTTGTTATGATTTTTCAAATTATTCAGCCTCTAGGGAGTAGGTTCCGAAGGAATGGGTCTATTTTGTCAATCTCGCACAGCAGCTAAATAAATATGATATAAATATTTGCGACGTGCCAGGTTTGGACTATATCGACTGCTTCCTTCATTTTATATGAGGTATGTGATAATTTTTAGAAAGTGTGCGTGAGGTACCACATATAGTCGACCGAAGTTTTCTATTTTCATACTTGATCTAATTCAAATAAAAATATTGGTTTGGGCACAATTACAAGAAAATCGAAAATTTTTCTCCAATTTTATACGAAATCATAAATTCCATAATCATCTCAGGTTTCTGGTTGAGAGACATATATTTAGATATAGCAAGTTGTAAAGAATCGCAAGTTATGACAGATAAAAGTATTGAAAATTGTGACCCTTTGTGGGTGAGATACCAAAAAATGTTCGCATATATATGTCATCTTCACTCTCTATCGTCTTCATAACAGATCTTTGATGGAAATATTGAGATGCACTAAGTCTTAATGGAACCTATACAGAGTGAGATGAAAAAACTGCACACAACTTCAGACTGCTGTCATTTCTAAGCCACTCGTCCGACATCTGTTAAAATTATTCCAGTGACAGCTCATTATATTGTTTACAAGCGTACAAAAGCATTTTGGTGAGAATTTTCCAGAAAAAAAGTTATTCGTGATGGAATTCAAGCGTGATAGTGAGATTACTTTATATTTGGCTGGAAAACCACAAGTGGCTATCGTTAGAGCACTCCAGCATTTAAATGTGAATAAAACTTTTGTATCTCGTACCATCGCTTGTTACCGTGATACTGGTAGCGTAGCCCGACATCAAGGAAGAGGAGGGAAGAAAACAGCAACATCAGCAGAAATGATTCGAAAAGTAAAGAAGCGACTCGATCGAAACCTGCGTCACAGTGGCCGAAAAATGGCTCGTGAGCTGAACATATTGCAATATTCCATTCGGCAAATATTGAAAAATGAGCTCAGGGTAAAGCTTATGAAATTCCAAAAAGTGCAAGAACTTATACCGCAACTGAAAGAAAATAGACTCAAAAGAGCTAAAGAGTTGCTTCGCTTGACCGAATGTGGCGAACTGCCGAATTTGGTTTTCTCCGATGAAAAAACATTCGTTGTTCAGTAGTTTTAAAAACAAACAAAAAGATCGTGTTTACTTGCCAAAGAGGTCAGCTGAAAATGTGCACCTTCGGTTGGCCACCAGAACTCAAGCGGCGGCCATGGCGATGGTGTGGGCCGCCATAACAGCCGATAGTCACTCACCGCTGGTATTAATCGACCGTGGTATTAAAATAAATGCCGAATATTATCACGAAAATATTCTGGAGGTTGTTCTAAAGCCTTGGGCCACGCAACCTTTTTGGCCGCATAGCTTGGACATTCCAACAGGACTTAGCACCATCGCACTCAGTACGCATCATCCAAGATTGGTTACAAAGTGAGGTTCCTCGCTTTATTTCCAGCGCACAATGGCCACCAAAATCTCCGGATACCAATCCATTGGACTATTGTGTCTGGAGCATTTTGGAAAACAAGGTTGGCACTAAAAAATACCATAGTGTCGATCACCTCAAGCAAGCGCTTCGCCGGGAATGGGCCAAAATACCGCAGAACCACATTCGGGCAGCGTGTGACGGTGTCATTGGCCATTTGAAGGCCATAATTCGTGCCAAAGGTGACCGACTCGAACACATCTAAACTTATTCTAAAATTTGATGCTATTTCCGACACTTTTTTCTTTCATTTAATAAAATTAAAAAAAAATGTAAAAACTATGGCGTTTGACTTTGTTGCAGTTTTTTTTATCTCACCCTGTATATATATCGTCACAACTTGATCTTGTGTTAGCAAAAATATTCGTATGTGTGAAATTTGAAGAGAGTTGGATGCTTACTTCGCTTTCTTGGAGGGTTTTGTTTTTCATAATCTTGAACCCTATGTGGGGGAGGTACCAGAAGAAATGGTCCGATCTCTACCATCTTTATAACTGATATTGTGTTGATGAAAATATTGAGATGTGCCAAGTCTGGAAAGGAATCGGATGTTAATTTCGCGTTTTATGAGCCTCATGGGTTTTCAAAAATTTGACCCTTTGTGTGGGAGATACCAGAAGGAGTGAAACGATATATTCCATCTACACAACATATCTTGGGTTTATATAAATATTGGGATGTGTAAAATTTTAAGATAATTGGGTTCTTACATCACATTTTATAAGAGTTAGAATTATTGTGGGGGAGTCACTTGTTGGAGTGGACCGATATTATCCACCTAACCTAGAACTGACGCAAATATTAGGATTTGTAAAGTTTGAACAAAATCGAATGATGCTTTCTCTCTTTTTGCAGTACATTATATTCTTTGAAAATGATGACATTTTTGTGAGGAAGGCATCAAAAGGAGTGGACCGATATTGCGCATCTAAGAACTCGATCTAAGTTTGACAATAATATTACGATGTACCAAGTTTGGATCAAATCGGATACTCTTCTTCGAGCGTTATCATGCGTACCAGCCAGCCAGACAGACATATGGACGGGCGGAAAGACCTCGCTAGATCGACTCCAAATGTCCTGAAACGGATTTGGTCCAAAGAGACCTAGGGTCTAAAACCGTTATTTCGATTAAGCACGTTTTGCCCGTATCGAATAATATATACCCTCTGTAGCCAAATGACTGAGGGTATAAAAATCACGGATGAGATTGTCCTTGAAACATTTTTTGTTACATGTCAGGGTTTGGTCGATTTCAAAGAAAAAAATGCATGACTGATAGTTTTTTTAAAAAAATATTTATTTTTTTAAACTGCGTTTTACTCATTTTACTAAGAGATTATCTATTTCGAAAATACGGTCAAGTGAAACAAATCTGTTTCACGCATTTCACTTCAGTCCACGTTTTATTGCTTTCTTTGAGGCATTCATTGCATTGCTACTAAAGTTGATATTGTTGCTGGTGCTGCTGCTGTTTTCTTTATTTTCCTTCATGCTTGCTACAACTGAAGACAAAAAACGCTAATTTCAAAAGCAATTAGCAGAATGCAGCCGCAGCAGTTGAGCCATGCAGCCCAGATATGTTTCTTGGCGTTTTACGACGATTGCCCGTCCGACTCGTAGAAGTTTTCCGGTTCACCAGCAAATGAGTTAATAAACCAATCGTTGTTTTTCGTTCATTTTTCCCCGTTCGTTCATTTGTTGTAAAGTTGTGCCGTTGCATTCCCCTACCCAAGTTGTGTTGTGGAAGCGTTTTACCGACTTCTTGCGAAAGCAATTTGTAAACACATTTACATTAACTTTTTGAACTCTTTTTTTCTGTTGAACATTTCTTTTTTACGATTTCAAAAAACATTTAGCGATATTTTGTTGTTGTTGTGATGTGTGTGTGTGTATTTAGGAAAATGCATTAAACAAATCTCGCGGCACGCAATGTGAACTTTTTACCCAGAGAGACAGCTATGAAATGGACAAACCATAAAAAAATAACAGAAAACTTGATCTATTGCCACATTTTGTCGTCGTCGTTTTATCTTTCCGTTTAAACAAAACGCATTAAAAATGTATGTGGAATATTATCTTGATTTGTATGAAAAAATGAACAGTGGCACTATTTACAAATTGTAAAGAGTATTAAAGGATTTTGTGCTGAAAAGTAATGAAATGTGTAAGCAAGTTAATATTGCACATTACAAGTCATTTTTGTTCCTTTATTTCTAGAATTAAAACAAAAATATCCCTACCATGAGCCACTTTCAAAATATCCAAATTATATTTTTACCTGTTCTTTAAAAAATGTTGCCGAAACTATTCCTTGTCTGTGTATCAGAAATCATTTAATATAATCTGGCGCCCAACGTGGGGTAGACCAATCACAAATGATATGAAACTCAAAAATTATACGAATAACTGATAAAAAATGCGGGATTATCTTAAACTTTGGGACTCTTAACGTATAAACACTAATTTTTATATACGGCGCCCAATGTGTCACCCAGAACTGGAAAACTACCCAAAATGTAAGGGAAATAAAACGTTAAAGTTATTTCATAAAATTTTAACAAATCTGACGCACGTGGGTTTCGTATCATCAAAAATTATCAGCGACTCGAAAATTATACGAATAACATGATAAAAAATGAGGGATTTATTATGGAATTTGGAACTCTTAAAGCAATTCAAGAAATATATGCTAAGACTTGATGTATAAATACTAATTTTAATATATGGCGCCCGACTTGTCACCCAGAAATGCAAAATGTCCAACATTTAAAGGAGATAAAACGTAACATTCCCCAATGATGTTTCATAAAATTTAGGCAAAACTGTGCCATGTCTGTATATTAAAAATCATTTAATATTACATGGCGCCCAACGGGGGACCTCAAATCAAAAATGATTAGAATATATACAAATAACGAGGAATTTATTATGAACTTTGGAGCTCTTAAAGCAATGCTAGAAAAGCTGCTTAAAATTGATATATAAACATTATTTTTTATATATGGCGCCCAACTTGTTACCCAGAAATGCAATATTTTCAACATTTAAAGGAAATAAAACGATATATTCCAAAAGTTATTTAATAAAATTTTGCCAAATCTGGCTCACGTCGTTATATTAGAAATCAATAAATCTCATCTTGCCCCCAATGTGGGTTTCGTAACATCAAAAATGATCAGCAACTCAAAAATTATACGAATAACTCGATAAAGAATGAGGAGTTTATTATGGAATTCGGAACTCTTAAAGCCATTTGAGAAATATATGCTAAAAAATAACGCAAAAACATTAATTTTTATATATGGCGCCCAACGTGTTACCCATTCACAACGTTAGTTCTTAACAATTTGCCAAAACTGGGCCATAGTTGGGTATTACAAATTATTTAATATCATTTGCCCGCAACGTGAGATTCATAAACCAAAAACGATCGGAAACTCAAAAGTTATACAACTCCCAAAGCTATTTCATAAAATTTTGCGTCTGTGTATTACAAATCGGTAAATATCATCTGGCGCCCAACGAGAGGTTCACAATAAAAAATTATGATAAACTAAAAATTGTTTTGAAAACAAATGCGAAATTTTTGCATCTGTATTGTACATATTTTTCGGACCACTTGATTTGCATTGGCCGCCATATTCAATATTTTTTTTTTAATTTCAGATGGAACGGTTTTGCCAAGATTTTTGTAATACCTTTAGTATGCTATGTGTATCTCCCAAATTTCTCAATTTTGTAAAATGTGGTATAGTTTCACATAATTCCTTCAATTATTTTTAAAACTTCGGGGTAAACACAAAGATAGTTTATAATAATTTGCACAAAACTGTCTCAGATCTGATTGTAAATAAATTGAATAGAGTCTGGCGTACAAATTTATTAAAAAAAAACCAGTAAAGAAAGTCCTAAAGTCGGGCGGGGCCGACTTTATGATACCCTACACCACTTTGCTAATTTAGTAGAGCTCCACATAACAATTAAAAGATTTTTTGGGAGAATTTAATCATACACGCTATGATTATAATTATTATTTAAAGTTCAAAGGAGTAAACATGCCGAAGCATTTGTATCTTTTAAATTCGGACTTGTATTGCCCATTTGGTGCAAAATTAATTTGAAATCAGATAAAGATATATGTGGGAGCTATATCCAAATCTGAACCGATCTCGATAAAATTTGGCAAAGATTTTTCTGAGCTGTATTTGATAAATTTCCCTGAATATCGTTGTTAAGTAGTGCATATTACGGCTGTGGGTAACAAATACAACAAATCGGATGAAAAATATATATGGGAGCTATAGCTATATCTGAACCGATTTCGATCAAATTTGGCATACTTATTTTCAGACCTAATTTGATATCGTTGTTACGGAGTGCATATTGCGGCTGTGGGTAACAAATACTAGAAATCGGATGAA